TAAAAAGGGGCCGGATTTTAAAATTTAAGGACCAAAAAGGGGATTTTTTCGGTACAGGGACTAAAAAGGGGCTTTTTCCTATAGTAGAGGGACCAAAAAGGGTATTTAACCATATTTTTTTAGTTGGTGTGAATTTCTTCAGATGAGATTGAGTGGTTATTTCCACAACGGCAGCAAAACCGTTCTTTTGTTGCGAGCTTCCCAGAGGATAATTGCAGCACCAACAAATTAATCAATTTGTTGCAGATATTACACTGTCGTTGGTTTTTCAGGATGTCGCCGCAGATCTCCACCATGCTGCCAAGGTGTTATAAATAACTAATGATAAGATCAAGTAAGGGATCGACATCTCACACAACAGACTCAGCACAACTTCTCTTTATACTCAGATTCATCTTAGTTTCAAGCCCTTTAATTTAATTTTAGCTCTACGCTTCAACCTAGATTAGTTTAGCAATTCGGTTCTTCTTTTGTCGAATTTGTATGGTGAGTTTCGCTGCCTTCAGTAATATTTCTTTGTAATCGGATTGCTTCCTTTCCTTTATATTTGTTTTCCAGATTTCCTTTAATTTAATCAAATGATGTCGACATTTAATTTCATGTTTAGTTCCATTTTTGTTAATTTACATTTCATGCTGCCAGTAGATTTTTCATGCTGCCAGTAGATTTTTCATGCTTCGGGTTTTATTTACTTTAACTTAATTTACTTTTATTGCAATTAAATTTCCTTTTAAAGCTCTGTTTCAATTCAGTTTACGTATTTAAAGTTCATTTAGATTTTCAGTAGTTTAGCGATCATTTATTTACCTTGCAGTCTTAACTTTTCTTGATTACATTAGCTTTGAGGAGTCCCTGGAATCATATCCAGGGCATTTTGTCGAATAACCCATTTAGTGCAGGAAGTTCATCCCTCGTTTCTGCCAATCGTCTGATCTTTAAGGTGCAATTCACGACGTTCTTCCATCAACTCACAAGCTGAGTTCCATGCTTGGAAAGAAGAGAGGGTCGTCGGAGAAATCTTTCTTGTTTTAAGCAAAGCAAGTGGCACGCCATTTCATCTGCCACGTGTCAAGGAGATTTTTTGGGATAACAACTTGTTTATAATTGCAGTTACACAGATCTTGGTTGTTTTTGTCAAGATATTTAAAAAAGCACGGAAGGAAAATGAAAGGCAGGCTGATGCTGAGAAAAAGAAATTAGAGAAGGAAGCCATGAAAGATAAGGCAGTAGTTAACTCCTCTGCAAAGAAAGACGGTGCTGATTTTGATGAACCAACTCTTCTTTCTCACATCCAGAGACACGTTCGCCAAGCAAATTGATGAAATTCCAGTTGAAGCTACACGTATGGCTTTTTGACTACTGGAGGCAGATCTTGAGGTTCTATTTTACATTTGCACATATAATTTGGGCAGCGGGAATTACTTTAGCGGTTGCTTATGCATGCTAACTGCAGTTAATCTACGGTCAGAGACTCAGTATACTACTGCTTCCCCGAAACACAGATGTAGGAACAACTGTGTTTCCGTGTACATGGCTTGTGCAGAATGAGGAAGTAGCAGCAAGAATGTTTTAAAAGGCCAATTTCTCAACGAAGCCCAGAAACATTAATTGACCAGCAGATACTACAAGGTTGTATATATTTAACACCTTTCTGGTTCTAATTCACTTACGCCCTATATAAGAAGACTTTAGTGATTACGGCAATTAATTGCTCCAGAATCACAAATTTGTATTTATTCAAATTGCAACTTAAAATGATGTATGTAGTTTTTTAAGTGAAGGAACAGAAACGAACTTGGATATCTTGCATTTTCAATTAAGTTCTGTATTTGCTGGCTTCTTGACTGATTATGGAATTGTAACTTTCTTCATGCATCCATGGAGAAACAGACTATGCTTGTCGCTCTGATGCTTCTTCTTTCTTGGCCTTCTCTTTCTCAAGCAAATACATCCTCTCTGCTTCGGGGATTGCAAGAATGATACTGTTGAGCTTGAAATTTAGCTCCTCAACCTTTTCCATGAGCCTGTCATTTGTGAACATACCCAGACAGACATTCTTTATTATCTCCCAGCTTTCAACCAACGGTAAAGCAATAATCACCGCTGATCCAATGGTTCCCCAAGCTACAGAAATAACAGCCCAGAAAGTGAAATACCCCAAATTGAACTGCCCTGCATAAGAGAAAAGGTAAAATATCAGTAGAAAGTTCAGGAACACGAATCCTTTTGTAACAGAAGTTTCTAGAAAGAATTTTACCCGCAGGAAGAGTAAGAAGAGGCCATAATATTACAATCAAGATTGTAAACCCAAGACCCCATTTTATAATCCATGTTCTAGCTTTCCTCAACTTTTCCTCCCTGAATTCTCCTGCAGGGAGGTCAGCCTTGTCCTTTTCCACCATAGTAATCTGCTTTGTTGTGTCCCAGTCATAGTTCTGTGGCCAGAGAAGGCTGCAGACAGCATGAACAGCTCCACCCGTAAGGATGGATACTAGGTTGCCAGCAAGCATAGGTGCATTCCGACCAGTTGTGTCCAAATTCACCCTACCATACTCAATTTTTGTGACAGAAATCCAAGTGATGATTCCAAAAACACAACCAAGGATTGTTCCTAGGATTGCCCCAAATGCATTTGCTTTTCTCCACAGAAGCATGAATGCAATGGGAAGAACGGCTGAGCCAATTAGCACTCCCATAGCAAGATACATCCACCCTAATGAGACTCCAGCCTTGTTCAATATTACCGCTAATAATCCCATGAAGCATCCAAAGCCTAAGACCACAGCCCTGGAAACTTTTAGGATCTTTTTTCCTGATGCATCTGGATTTATGTAAGTCCTGTAGATATCATAGGTGCACAATGAAGAAACCGCAATCAGCTCGGAAGAACCTGCGGATGTCACAGCCCTGTTCATGATTACATCACAAATTTTCCATTAGGAAGTCATTTTCTGCAAACCAAAGGAGCTTCTAGTTAGATTTGGATTTTCAACTCACATGAAAAGCATAGTAAGGAGAAGAACTGATCCTCCTTTTCCCATCAAAGCTATAGCAGTGGCAGGAGGAACTAATCCATGGCTTGCTTCACTCGCTGTTAAGGGCAGATCAAGTGCAAGTGCTCCTAATCCTAATGATGTTGCCAAAGAAAATGGCACTGCAAACCAGACTAGCCCTCCTACTAAGTATCCTTTATGAGTTGATGATGGTCTTGCAGCTATTGCACTCACCCAATAACCCTATAAAATGTCCCAATCCAGAGGTTAAGATGCATTAGAAAGTAATTGCAGAAATCACAATTGAAGCTTTTATTTCTTACATTGTCAACAAAAACTGTTCCGAAATTGCCAACAATGTTAATTATCCCAAAAACTAGGCCTCCAGAACTCAACATTGTCAGGTAAGAACCTTTGTAGTTGCCAGAAACAGGGCCACAAGATTGCCCGGAGTGGGAAATTGGCTCCTGACATATTCTTGACTTTGCGGCAACCTCCAATAGGCGCTTGTAGACAACACTGGGGCTACCAAGCTCATTGCTGGCAGTATAGACTAGGTATACAAAGATGACTAAAACCACATGAACTGAAAACAGAAAACAAGAACTCAGCCTCAGAGAAAAATATGCATATAAAAGACCAATGCAAGGAATATGAATATACCGATGACAGAATGTATGTAGCTTGCCAAGAAGGTGGCTTTAAGCCCTCCAGCTAAAGTATACACAATCACCCCAAGTGGAATTAAGAAGCTGGCGGCGTAGATGTTGACGCCGGTGAGTGCATTGACAACAGCAGAGCCACCGAGGAGCAGCATCGCCGTTACAATGATGTTAGTGAGAAAGCAGAATGCAAGGAAAACAATGTGCGCCGGTGTCCCCCATCTGAGGTACGAGGGATAATTCATTGTTTCAGTAGCAAAATGGCATTTAATTTAAGCAATTTAGTAAGCAAGAAAGCATCTTTACCGGGCTTTTACGATTTCACAAACAGTATGAGCATTTGGAGCCTTTCTTTTGATCTCTATAGCCATAATTCCAAACAACAGTACCTGTTTTTTCTTATGAAATTAAATTACTTGCTAAAATCAGGGAAGGGATGGGGAGGGAATTTCAGTCGGAAAATATGAAGCTTGCCTGTATGGTGGCGCCACTGGCATACCAGAAAGGTCCACTGATTCCATATTCCCAAGCAACATTAGAACTTTGCAGAATCGTTGCAGCCCATGTCCACTTTAGAAGAATCACAGATGGGTTTATAAATAAAGGTGAAAAAACCAGAGATTTCAACCCAAATTTTCAAGGCAGAGAATCTTACCTGAGAGACAATCACACTAGCAATAAGCCCTGTTTTGACATTCCGGCCGGCGGTGTTGAACCATTCCGATGTATGGCGGGAACCAACATATCGCTTCTCTAACCAAACCTGAATAATTCCACTTGAAATAAGCAACAGACACTTTTGCAGAAAAAAGGAGTAATTGCAAGAGACAAGAGAGGAATGTTTACGAGGAAGGAAGTGAAGACTGCGAAGAAGGCACCAAAGCCGAGAATAACAGAGTAACCGACACCTTGATTGAGCACCGGTTTGCCCTCAAAGAAGCTGCTCTGCCGGACACAGCCGCTGCCGCCATCTGAAACATGGTAATACTTTGCAGAAAAGTCGAAGGGAGGACACGAACCCATACCTTCCTCCTGCTTTCTCCTCCTGTTTCTCGCCCCCCTCCTTCAGTCTTTGTGGGACAATAATATCACTCCTCATAAGTGCATTTCAATTACGGACTCTCACCCACCCAATCCTAGTTAAAGTCAAATAAAGCGTTCATAACCACACACAAAAAATTTATAAAAAAAAAAAGTCACTAAAAAGTCTCTTTCTTCTTTCCCCTTTTCTCTCCCTTCTCTCTTGCATCTGCCTACCTTCTCCGGCGCGGTGGTTTTTTTGGTCGGAAGCCTTTGAGCTTCCGACGTTTTGATGCTTGAGCCGTTGGGGGATCCCCGACCGCTCAAGCATGCTGGAGCCGGCCTGTGCTCCATCCTCCGATGACCCTTCGGGGTCTGGTGGTTTATGGGTCCCTTTCCGGTGACCCCTTTTGCTCTTTTTGTTTTCTGGTTGTTTTGTATAGTTTTAGTTTCTTGTACAGTTTGTTTTTTTAGATCCGGCGACCCTTGGCTCTTTCCTGTTGATCTTGGTAGGGGTTCGTTGGGTTTTTCTTTTGGTTATATCCCCAATTCAGTCCCTCAACTTTCATTTTTGAACTAAAACTACCCTCGAACTTCAAAAAATACTAAAAAAATCCTTGAACTTCAATTTTTAGGACCAATTTCGTCCTTCCGTCAGTTAAGTGCTGATATGGCAACATTTTCCGTTAACAAATTCAATTTTTATTAATATTAAATATTATCTAAAAATAAAATGAGTGATGTGGCATTTTTAATTATAAAAATATTGTGATTTGGATAAAATTTTTTTTTTTTCTTTCCTTTCCTTTTTTTTTTCTTTCCTTTCCTTTCTTTTTCTCCTTCCCCTCCCCTACTGGGTTCGAAGGAACCCAGCACGCCTGGGTTCGATGGAACCCAGGACGCCTGGGTTCGAACGTTCCTCGTCCTGGGTTCGAACGTTCCTCGAACCCAGGCGCTGGGTTTCGAACCCAGCGCCTGGGTTTGAGTCGAAGCCGCTGGGTTTTTTCGTTCTGTTTCTTTGTTGGCTTGCAGTCATGCTTGAATGGGATTTAGAGTTTGGTGTGGTTTCTGATTGCTTGTCATGCTTGAATGAGACTTAGAGTTTGGTGTGGTTTCTGATTGCTTGAATTTCCAGATCTAGTTGATGTTGATTGAAGGAATGTGGTGTTTTTTTCATTTTTCTTTGCAGATCTACTATACATTTGTAGAGGAATTGATTTTTTGAATCAAATTTATTGAGTTCTATTAGGGAGGAGGTTTGGGGAAGAAGTAGATGGTGATTGGAGTGGTAATAGATGATCGGAGCAATGAGGGATGACCGGAGGGATG